GTATGTGTGTGTGTGTGTGTGTGTGTGTGTGTGTGTGTGTGTGTGTGTGTGTGTGTGTGTGTGTGTGTGTGTCCTGACTTGATAGTGGACTTCCCGCCTTCGGTGCGAATGAATCTGCTCATCAAGCTGGCCGACGTGGAGTAAGTCACGTGATTCGGGGGGGAAGGTGTGATGAAGCGAGCGGCGTCCCGCGCTAACCCGGCGCTGGTTTCTCTGCTTTTAGGCATCGGCTGGCATCGGGCACCAATGAGAAGATCCAGCTGAGCTCCATGGTGGCGGCGTTCCAGGTGGCGCGCAACCTGGTGGTGAGCGAGGCCCAGTGATGGCGCGGTGGACAGTCCGACTCCCGCCAGACGCTTAAGGTCAGCCTCATTAACCTTTGCTCACGCACGGCAATAAATGGGAACAAAAGTGTGCCGAACTGAAGGAGGTTATTTTTTTTATTTTATTTTTTTTTTTTTGAGCGCATTTGTCAACACGTGTCCACCTAAATTAATTTGCCTACGTTTCCTGATTGTCAAAAAAAAAAAGTCCAATCTTTCCTCAACTTTTCCTGTATTAAATGTATCACTTTTTTCCCTACAATTATGGTCTCCAATCTTTCACTTTTTTTGTCAAATGCTGTTGCCTTTTTTTTTCCAATTAGATTTTCAAAGTAATTTATAAGTGTCCCTCAAAATTTCTGATGAATATTTACAAGGTGAAATGTGTAGCCTATTTAAGTTTTAGAACTATTGTACATTTCTTCATAAAAATATTTTGCCAAAATGTCACATTTTGTTAAAAAGACAAGACAAATTTGCCAATAGCTTGTTTTGTTTTATAGATTGGTTCCCCCCCCCCAATAAAAAATAAGTTAACCTTTTTCTTCGACATATTTTCTTCTACAACCCAACTTCTTTCTTCAAACTATTCCTTTAAAAAATATATATATGTATTTTTTTTAATAGCAATATAGACAACTTTACAAACAACACATTTCGCAGCCTCTTTGTGGGCTTCAGGTAAGCTCCACCCTAATCAAGAAAGAACAAAAAAAAAAGCAAGAATAGTCATGGAATGCGTTTTTTAAGCAAAATTATTCATGTTTTATTCGGTGAACATGAAAACATTATTTTCAAAAATGACCAAAACAAATTCCATAAAAAACATAATAGCATTCAAATGAAGACTTAACACCCCCTCCGCAAAATAATACACATCATGATCTTTTTGAAAGGAAAACCTTTTCAAACATGATATTTTGAAAGAAAGGCTTTTTTTGTCATTTTCCTGCGCAAAGCCCAATTTTCGTTTAAAAGAAAAATAAACTTTAAAAAAATGACTTAAAAAAATTCACAACATGACAAAACTTCCAGAAGTCTGTTTTGTCGGCTTCAGCAAACCATAACTAAACACAATTCTAACAAAAGTGTGCATTTTAGTGCTTTTAATAAAAGTTATTCAGGTTACAACATGCGGTTACACAGCAGTGGTGCGTGACAACCAAAAGATACAATCAAATAAATTAGCAGCAGTATCAAATAGTGCTAGTGCAATCATAAGAGGCGCAGGGCGGCCCGCCACAGGTGGCGCAGATCCGGCACGACCCGCGGTGCCCGCCAGAACCTCACGTGCCCGTTGCGGGTTCTGAAATCATTGCGCGCGCACACACACACAAACACACACACACACACACAGAGCACAGAGACCTCGTTGCTTCAAAGGCCGGCAAGGATTTGGCGCGCAGATCAACTAATTGAAGAAAAAAAAAAAAACAGACTGCCAATGATCCACTCGTGCTCTCATTGGTCGATGTCGCGCTGGGAACCAATCACGCGCCTTATTTGAGTGGGCATGTCAAAAGCCTTCGAGTCACGTCAGCGTGCCCGTTGCGGGTTCTGAAATCATTGCGCGCGCGCGCGCGCGCACACACACACACACAGAGCACAGAGACCACGTTGCTTCAAAGGCCGGCAAGGATTTGGCGAGTTCTTTCTTTGGCATGCAGGGAAGCCTCTTCTCTCGCCGCAGCAGCATGACACAACGCGTCTTTTTGCAATATGGGTGCCAATATGGCTGTATTTTATTATTTGTTTGAATTAATATTGAAAAAAAAATAAAAGCCCGAAAAAATACGAAGCCGCTTGAAGCGCAAAGTATTATAGTAGTATACAAATTAGCAGCAATATGCACAATACATTTCCGTTTTTCAACATGAGCACTTTCTGTGAATTTAGTCTTATTGTATTAATTATTCTTTGTCAATTCAGATTTTTAAATCTCTCAGAAAACTTTAAATATAAAATTCAGAAATTATTTGGGATGTAATAATTTAATTTAAAAACCTGTTTCAAAAAACAAACAATATACAACACAAAAATTCAATTGAAAAGACAATTTAACTTTGCATTTTGTTGCAAGGTGTTTTTCCATCATTTAACATTTTCCATACTCATCTAAATGTGTATTTTTATCACTTAATTGATTGGAAAGTTGCCTTGAAATAGTTGTCAAAGGTATATACTTACCCAGTGGCGACGACTCCCCCTTGTGGATGGTACTTGCAGCACAGGCCGTTTGAGTCGCGGTCGGCTTCCGTCTGCATGCTCAGGCCCGGCTTTCCATTATCACTTAATTGATTGGAAAGTTGCCTTGAAATATTTGTCAAAGGTCACGTGGGTTTTTTGTTTTTTTTTTGCACTTGGGAAGCGTTAGCCAGCTCTGCGAAGCCGACATGCCCCCGTCAAGTCCACATTACCTTGACAACCACACTCTGTCCGACAGTGTAGCCCGCCGACGTCTCTGTGCCAATGCAAATCACCTGTCGTCCGTCACGATGGCCAAGTACACGCCGCTGGGAGAGAACTGAATGGATGAGATCTGGTTTTGCCCGTAGTCCTCAAAGTAGTCCCTGTGGCGCAAGACACGCATTAGTGTGTTCCCGTGACATGAGCAGCCCGTTTCTCCTCCGACATTTGGCTCCCGGCGGCCTTTCAAAATAAAAGCCCATCTGGCTCCTTACGTGAGCGTGGCCAGCTTCTGCGCCGTGTACGGGTCCCACAGGTCGATCCACCAGCTGCCCCCGCTGAAGGCGGCGGTGGCGAGCAGCGCGCCGTCGGGCGAGAAATCGCAGGCCGACAGCAGGTAGAGCGTCTTGTGGGCGCCGCCCGTCAGGTTGCGGATGAACGTGTACGAGCGAAGGCTCCACAGGCACACCATCTGGTTAATTAAGGACAACACGTAAGCGCAAGTTCGCCAGCGTTGACTCGAAGGGCACACGATGGCGGCTGCCCACCCTGTCAAAGCGCCCCACGGTGGCAATCATGCTGCAGTCGGATGACACGCAGCAGCAGCTGATCCAGTCTTTGTGGCCCGACAGCACCTGAACCTTCTTACCTGGCCGCACAAGGGGACAGTCAATTAAGTACACGTCGGCTTTCCGGAAACAGCAGCGCTCCTAAGATGTGACCAAGCATGATAGACACCTTTGAGCGCAAGGTCCCACACGCGCAGCGTCTTGTCGCGGGAAGACGACACGAGCGTCAGGGTGCCGTTGGGAAGGAAGAGCAAGTTGCGCACCACGCCCTCGTGGCCGTGAAGCTCCAACGTGGCCACGCCTCAACCAACGCATAAACATCAAAAGTTAGCCAAAGTGCTCACCTGGTGCAAAATAAACACAAACACGTGTACTCGAGTACATTTTTCAGCTATCGTCACTTTAGTTCAGTATTTGTTTTGGACCACTTTTTGGAGATCAGCCCGACAGAAAACGGTCAAACCAGCTCTGAAGTCGGACACCTTTCGACATTTTGTACTCAAACGGTACTTCTACTTTTTAATTAATATTGCTTCAAATGTTTTATTGTACGAAGATGAGTAAATACTTTTGCTCTCACGGGAGTCTTTTCTTGTACTTGTTCCTATGTACTCAAGTATAACGTGCAACTACTTTTTCCACCTGTGGTAACATGATGTCGTCATCGCTGACGCGAGAGCTCACCAGTGAAAACGTTCCAGATTTTGATGGTGCCGTTTTCCAAGCCGGTGGCCAGAAGTAGAGCGTTGCCATCATAGTTTTTGTTGCCTTTCGATAGCGAGTTGTTGGCGCCGGCCACGGACGACTTGGGGGCACGAGGCCCGAAGGCCAGACCCCAAACGGGATGGCCGCAACTGAAGCTCTTGTCTCCTCGATCCACATCACCATCCTGGCCTTCTCTGTGGGGGAGCATGACGAAAACGACGACGACAACAACAACAAAAAACATATAAACCATTCCAGAACTGGTCAATGGTTGTTCCAAAAGGAGGCCCCGTTGTGTTTGCCTTCAAACATTTGGACAACAGCTTTTATTTTGGAGGGTGTGATTTTGTGTGATTTTTTTTTTTTTTTACATTGCCAAAGTCCCTTGTCATTTGCATCCCTAATTTCTGAGTCTTGAAATTTCCTAAGGTTTCACAAACGCCTCCTTTGAGGTTCCAGGAATATGTTTGGGCAACCACTTTTAACATTATTCACGAAGTGTCATTGCGTTTGGATTAGGTCACTATCGTGTGACTAACAGTCGTTCCCTTTTCTGCCTTTGTAAGATTAAATTTTCTTCAGCCAAGATATTTGTTACCTAATTGACATTCCAAGACAACTTTTTTGTGCACGACGCTTTTTTCGTTTTTAAATAGCATCAAATTTTCCTACGTTTTAACGAAAATTTGATCGACAACTTGCATTGTTTACTTTTTTTCAAACCAAGTAATATTTTACCTGTTTACTATTTAATCGGCGATTTAAACAAGGTTTTGCGGATACGAGACACCTTTTTTCGTTATTATGCAGTGTCAAAATTTCCGAGGGTTAGATGAACACCTCATGTGACGTTCAGGGGCATTATTCTTATGTGACAAGTCATATTTTTTAATCGTGAAAAATGATGTGGTTAAGTCCTTTTGTGCTTTTTTATCTTTTTTAAAAAAGATTGCAAGACTTTTTTCCCAGTTACAAACAATTTTATCGTCATTTGAAGCCCCAAATTAATACTTGAAAACAACGTCCTGCGACTTTTCCTGTTTAAAGAGCTACGGCATTTCCTGAACGCCTCCGCCCGAGGTGGAAGGAGGTCGTCACGTACTGCGCGTCTAGGGGCCAGGCGACCACCCATACGATGCCGTGCCCCATGGACCAGGCGAACCAGGCTCCGTCGGGGGAGAAGTCCACGCTCCACGTCTCGCAGCCAGGACGGCCCTCCAACGACGGCGGCCGTCGGGTCTTGAGCTCCAGAATAAGCGCCGGGTCGGAGGAGGCTGCGGACCACCAAAACAACCACTTCAGTCTCCGGGGGCGGACGCTCGGCTTGCCTCTTCCCCGGCCTGTGTCGCCTCGGTGACGCGTTTACGTACACGTCGGTTGGGGCTCGGCCGCGTTGTTTTCGTTAGAGCACATAGTCGGCGCGGTCGTCTTTCACATCGTTCCGCTTCCTAACCTCTCGGCGTCCGTCGAGACAAATTAGTTGGGACTCCGCGACGGCGACGGTGACCTCCTGTCAGGCATGAAAAGAAGGCGAGCCGTACGCCGTCTTTCAAGTGTTTCCTGCGGATGACGACATGTTTCCGAGGTTTGTCACTGGTCACGTTGTCGGCGCTCCTTGCGTAACATTGCGTAGCCACGCCTCCCCGGGCTGGGCCGTTCCTTGAGAGGTGGTCCGCATGGGAAAAACACCCCCTTCCCTTGACCCAACCATGCATTTTGGTCTGGCTAATTAAGAGCTGATTTGAATAATGGTAATAATACCCTAATTTACTGGTCTCCGAAAGTTCTACGCCTTAAAAAAATATGTAAAATGTGTGTGTGTGTGTATAATGTATACATAGGCAACATTGATGTAAACAAATACACACCAGCTTTAATAACCATAAAAATAACTAAAACCTGGTTGATGGCTGTACACATTTTAATATCAACATAAAAACTATTTATTGTATGTACAAAAATTCCACCTTGAACCCTTTTAGTCTCCAAATATACAAATGTGAACAATGACAGGCATTGACGTTCCTGTTCAGTTGCATTCTGAAGGCGATAATGCAGGCACGCGTTACGCAAGTTGACGTTCTTGTGGTGCAGTGCCCATGCACTGTTTATGCCATCGTTCCACACCAACATTGACACTCACATACTCACTGGGAGAAAAGGCACACGACAATCAAAGCAGCTAACTCCTAGAGAGTCACCAGGTCCGGAGGCTCCTCCCTGGCCTCCGGGTTTCCTGTGTCCTCCTGCTCACCTGTAGGGGGCGATATCAAAATAAACAAACAAACCCCAAAACACACTTGATATGATGTTAAGCCTAGCATCAAGGGCGTACCGGAGGGGAGGCGATGGACCTGGACCAGCGTGGTCGGGTGGGGGTCCGTTACTGGCGGGAGGCGCGGGACGGCCTGGAAGATCTGCTCTTCGTCAGATTCCACCAGACTCAGCACATCACCTCTGTCGCCGTCCGAGGACCTGCAGAGGAGCAAAGCGGTGACGGGAAACAATTATTTGGGCCTCAAAATCCATCCTGCACCTCCTTTAATCGTCTCGGAAAAAAAGACTGAGAAAACTCTGAATATGCTGCATGGCCTCGAATAGTGGCCCCTCCTCCGATATGTGGCATGTCCAATTTATGGCTAACCATTTGAAAAATAAACACCTCAAATACACACTTCCTTCACTCCTTTCGGAGAGATTGAGAAGATAACTCTTCCATTTTTTTTGTTGAGTGAATGTGTGTGTATGTCATTCCTCAAATACTTGCCCTTGGAATCGTCGCTGCGCTCCAAATGACTGCACTTGAAAATATGAACACTAACAGAATGTGTGCGCTTTTTTTTCCCTTGATGTCACCATGATTGGTTGCTGTTGCAGCACTGATGATGTGAACTGACTGGCAGCAGGAGACTCACCCGAAAGGTCGCCCTGTAACAGAAAAAAAAAAACGGGTCAGAAAAAGTTCGAATAAAACTTTGACATTTCTTTGGATGGGTAGTCAGGATGTTGAAGGGGGGAGCATAACTTGAAACGATATTTGGGGGCGGTGCACCGACTCAGTCAAGGTACGTGGCTTTAGATTTTTGTTGGAGTCCGCCAACTATGTCGGAATGTTAGCGGGGGTGCATGTCTGAAATTATTTTCATGGGGGTGTGGGTTAACTCATGTGAGATGGGTGTTGAAAGAGGTGTACATCTTAAAAAGTAACTATTTGCGGGGGCTGAAGGAGGTTCGCAATAAAAGCTTTCCTGACTTTTTCAAGGGGGAGCGCCAACTCTGTTTGGACGCTGAAGTGGATTCATTTTCGAGGGTCGCGCGGTTGCAGTTACCGAGGCAGATGCGATGTCTGTTGGCGAAGAGCAGTCTGGCCGTGACGGCCGCCAGGCCCACAATGAGCACGGAGACAAAGATGCCAACGATGACGCCCGTGTAGTCAGAGGCGACTGCCAAGACAAATGCGACAGCACAGCGTCAAGAGATGCTGATACTGGTTGGTCCGCATTCCACTCCTCCCCCGGGCAACTCACCAGTGACGCTGAGATACACCTCGGCCCGGCGCAGCGCCAGAGCGTTCTCGCTGCGGCAGAAGTAGGTGCCGACGTCGTTGCGGCTGACGTTGGCGATGGTCAGGCTGTAGGTGGCGCCGTCCCAGCTCAGGGTGTGCTTGGGGCTGGGCGCCAGCGCCGCCCCTTCCGCCCCTCGAGACCAAGTGGTGATGGCGGGCGGCACCGAGGCCGACTCACTACATGCCAGCGTCACGCTGTTGCCCTCCTGTGCCCACACCAGCGGAGAAGCATGGGGACGCGGCGCCTCTGCAGTATTAGCGCACACACACACGCTGTTAGCCGCCTAGCGTTAGTTTGGTTGTCGCTTGTTTTGTGGTGCGCGTGCGTCGTGAGCATGCGCATGACGTACCAAGTGTAAAAGAGCAAGCGGCTTTTTTTTCCGGCGCGCGGGCCGACGG